CAGTTACAGGGACGACTCACAGAAGCAGAAGTATGTTGGGATTTGTAGTTAAAGCACAGGTGGAGGGCCAGAGTTGCTCACCCCTGCTTTAGGGGCTCTTGAAATGATCGACATCTCTGCTAACTGGAAAAGTACCTCTGGTATTATTGTGTCTAGAGGAAAAATGTTGTTTTGCCCCTAAGAGACAGCAGTGGTTTATCTACGAATGACTATGCTCCACTGCAGAATCATTAGGGGTCCTGAACCAGAACTAGGGCAGTTGTTCTCAACCACCGGCTGTTACCCACTGCCGGGCTGCTGCCTCCCCTTCTCACATGGCTTCCTGCCTGTGAGAAATGATAGCTGAAATGAATTAAACAGCTATGGTCCTGCAGTTTCTTGCGTGTAATGTACATTACCCTACCTCCCAACTTTCTTAGGTGAAAAAGAGGGACACCCTTTAGCACAACACCTCCAGTTACATGGACTAGTGATGCACCAATACTGATACTAGTATTGGTATCGGTGCCACTACCGAGTATTTGGGTGAGCACGAGTACTCGCCCAAATGCTCTAATACTTACCACCGACACCAGAACTTTCGGTCAGGCAGCCAGTCTAGTAAGCTGGCTTCACTTGTTGCTAGACAGCCTTGCTTCCTGGCCAATAAGAAAGCCGGACGGCACCTCATGATCCGTTGCCTGGCTTTCTGATTGGTCAGCAAGCCAGGCAACCTCAGCAAGTGAAGTCGGTTTTTTTTTTCGATAGAACACCAGTTTCCCAAGCAATCAGGAAGCCAGGCAATGGGTCATGATCCACCGCCCGACTTCCTGATAATCGGGGCACACGGCATCGGCGAGTACCGGAAAAAATATTGGTACTCTAACTCAATACCGAAAAACTGGTATCGGTGCTTCACTAACATGGATCATGAAGGATTAATAAGCATAAAATGGTTGGATAAACTCACAAGTGCTTTTTTCATCACTGTGTTCTTGCTCTATACTGAATTTCTGGAATAATAATAATATGGTAAGAAAATGGTTTGGGAAAGGTTTACTGTAGTGTAACACCTTTGGTAGATTACATATGACATTTATTTTAGAGGTCTACACCTCAGAAATGAGGGGGGAAAAAGAACAGAGGGGATTGAATATCTAGATTCTTGATTGAATTACAATTCATATGTTTAAGTTTGGCTGTGTTGCCCTATTGCCCTACCAATGCTGTAGAAACAAGCATCACTTTCTTAAAGCACTTTCTATTTTTTTGTGTTTTGTTGTGACATTTTTGTAACATTTTTTTTCACTTTTCGGGCCCATTTATACTAGTGAGCATGCAGTGGCATATCCAGGGTATGGCACATGCCATGGGCGCCACTTGAAGAGGGGAAAAAAAGTTTGCCAACTCATGGAGACAGCTGACTTTTTTCTTTCCCCTACCCCTTTTCCATACTCTTAAGTATGAAAAAGGAGACATATGCATTGGAGGAAATACCAGGGTCGTCTGGGTTGCCAAGAAACATGTTGGATGGAGACATCTACAATGCAGTATTTATATCATATCTCTATGATATTTCAGTGGACACTTATACTTTTGTGAGTCCTTGGAAACTGTTTTTTTTTTGTGATATAGAGAAATATGTTTTGTTGTATTATTGCTTTTATTAACCTTGGTGTCTAATTGCTGCATGCCAGAAAATGCCTCACTGCATACATACATACTTTTTGCCCCTTCGTTCTAAGGGTTTGACATGTGGAATTATCATTCCTTTTCCCTGACTTACATCTAATACTCTTTGTGAAATTATACCACACTTATTAAAGTTCACTTCTTTACTAGAGTACAGTTGCAGTGTTTCCTGGATAACTTTATAAACTCACTAATTGACTTGCTGCCCATTAAATATATTTAGCCGATTGTGGGTTAATTAACAAAGTCTGTTCTACATTGGGTCACTTTATGATTTTTAGCTTAATGGAACTTAATGAATCGTGGACTAATTCAGTGACTCCACTGATATGAATAGCAGTCTTGCTCCACCTTCTCAATTAGTGCTGCAAAGGTTTGCTTAATGCTAATGTCAGTGACGTGGTTAATGAGCCCCAGGAGGGATTTCAAGGACAATCCCAATAACGGTACTTTTTTATTAGGTAGATACTAACGACTGCATCTAAAGAACTTCTACATTCAAAATATGAAATTGAAACTGTAGTAAAAAAACTTTTTTCTTTAGTCTTTTGGATACAATAAGGGAACTTTAGAATCCCAGTAAGGTTTGTATTGCTTTTTCTGTCTCTGCTGGGAAGATTGAATGTCTTTGCTTGTCCTGATGACTATTGTCACTGGGACAGAAACTGACATTTAAGGTCACAGGAAACCTTCAAATGGGTACACCTGTTCCAATTCACTTTGGAAGTCCAATCTCCCCAAAGGGACACAGCAAAAAGAATAAACTGAGCAGGTTTCTAAGTATGACCTACTACTGAAAATCCCAATACACCAAAATGTACAGTCATTTACTTCCATGTGTGCCAGTGCACTAGCAAACAAGCAGCAGGTCTGATTTTTGGTCTATTTTGGTGCGTTTGGCACCCCATTCAAATAAACAAACAATAAATAAAAGAATAAAAGTGCATGTGTTAAGTACACTGCAACTGACTGCCCTGCTGTGAATGGGCCCTTATTGTTTATAGTTGAGACATAATTCAGACTCTAATTGCAGTGATTAGTATCTATAATGCCTAACAAAGTATTGGGCTTGAAATCCTTTCCATAGCTCAACCTTACTTTTTTTTATTTTGGATTTAATGGGGAATGATTAGAAGCTCTCTTAGGCTTTTATTGCTATATTAATTCTCAGTGGAGAGGATATCCCTCATTTTCTGTCCCGGTGAAGGTGATCATCACAAGAGATCTCTCCACAACTCCAGGGACACATACACAAATAAACACATTTTTAAGAGTGGAAAAGGGTTAGAACCTGTGTCGGGGTTTTATTGCACTAAGCATTTCCATTGGCCCTAAGAAACCATTGATACCTAATGCTAGAAAATGCCTGACAAATAAAGGATTTCATGTATATATTTTATAGTATTATTTTTTTTTCTATTCTGACACGGCTCCCAGAGCGCCCGGGAGAGTTTTTTTTATTTATTTTGACGGCAGCAGAACCGCCGGCCAATAGAAAACTATTGGGCGGAGCTAGCTGTCATTGCTAGCTCCGCACAATCGTTTGCAATTTATTTTTTTGTACTTTTTTTACTATTTTTCTGTTCTGCTAGGTCCCTCTGAGGGACCGAGCAGAACAGCCGAGCGGCATTCGGCTATTCACTCGGCGTAACTTAACTATTAACAAAATGTATCTTATTTGTGTATCACTCGGCTGTAGATCCTCAAATCATCTCTGAATTCATGCTGACACTGTCCTTCCTTCTGAAGGGGGCTACTTTTGTTCCCCATGGGCCCTGTGTGTGTTGTAAAGTAGCCACCGCTCCAAGTTCGCTCCTGAGATGGACTACAATCTCATGTTTGGTTTACTAATTTGTATTGAGATTGTAGTCCATCACGGGAACGAGCTTGGTGGCTACTTTGCAACACACACAGGGACCATAGGGAACAAAAGTACACACCCTCCAGAAGGAAGGACAGTGTCAGCATCAATTCAGAGATGATTTGAGGATCTACAGCTGAGTGATACACAAAAAATATATCTTTTTGTAATAGTTAAGGAAAATTAATGCATTTTTAAGATTTAACTCCTCAGTTTAGTGTCACTTTAAGCTTCCTGTAGTCATTTTTGGCAGTGTTTAATTTATAATGTTATTATGCACTCTAAATGGGCATGTTTTCTCCACTAAGATCTCTTATATTTCTGGTTTGGCTTTTTCTAAACCTGCTTCTAAGGAACATCACTAATGCTGCAGTGATTTTTCTTCTTTAACCCATGTACCGTACCTGTCTCCTGCTGAGATTTTTCCCTTGAAAATGTCTCATGTTCTTGTAAACCTCTCCTAACCTCCCCTATTTTTACTTTCTCTAACTAACAGCAAGTATATGCAAGGTAAACTTCAGCCACCGTTGAAACAAAGCCTTGGGATGGCAACAGGGAGCATTGCCTACCTGCCCAGCATTTCAGTTTTTCACCCAAGCATATGTGTAGTATACCAGTCCACCCAACTCCTGTTTGACTGTAATCTGGTGATCCTGAAGCACAACTGCTTGTGATGCTGGAGCTCACTCCTTGCGCTTTTCACATATACAAAACCTCATGTGTAAAATTGTTACTACTAATGTTTTTTTCTCAGTCATCATTCAGAATCAACCCTCCCTAAGAAGTCTGAATGTGAGTTATACCGTATCTCTACAAGCTTTGGGAACACACTCCTACTGCCATCCTACTTAGACTTTTATATGTTTTGTGGGTGCTGTGGATGTTGTAAATGACATAGTGTGTTGGAATTACTTAGGGGTCTATTCACGAAGCTGCCGAAGGATCTGGCCATAGCTTCGGCCGATCCTTCGGCTAGCTTCGGCTCCAGGACCCCTTCGGTTCAGTAGAACCAAAGGGGTGCTGTACGGGCTATTCAACATAGCCCGTACAGCTCCCGATCATGGCCGAGCGGCTCAGCCGAGCCGAACGCATATGCATCGGCTCGGCCGTGCTGAAAGCCGAAGCTGGCCGAGCGGCCGGCACGGCTGAAATTAGCCGTACCAGCCTGAAGTGAATAGCCGAACAGTGTTCGGCTCACTTCACTTCAGATCGGTCATTTACTCGGCTGCCCTCGGCAGCTTCGTGAATAGACCCCTTAGTAGCTCACTGATGCTTGAGTTTTCACTTGCTGCCTGGAATTGCCCTTTTAATTTAGGGAACATGATGGTATACTTGTTTTTCCTTGAAACTAACATTGTGCAGGTTGGAATACCCCTTTGCTTAGGAATGAGACTCTATAGAGAGTGTGGGAAAGCTAGTGTAATACTCTTGCATCACCGTACACAAGCATACCAATGCAGGAAAAAACCTGATGTTTTTAATTGTACATCCCAGTATGTGAATAAGAAGAAAAAGAAAAACAAATGTATAAATATTTTTTTCTTTATCCTCCCGCAGGGAGAAGAGAGGGAAAAAAATTACATTTACTCATGCAAAAAATGTAAAACCAGGGAAAGTATAAGCGTCTTATTGCAAAGATCCCATTTTGCCGTAAAAATATGTTTTATTGCACCTATTCATCGCTTAGAAAGTTGTGAACCACTTCAAAGTCTCTCAGAATCCTGTTGTTATTTACTTTTTTGCTTAGGCAATTTTACTATGGTTTTATTAACTATTATTCTTTTCCATTTCTTTTCCTCTCTGGTTTACTGTGATGTTGTCATCATTTAAAGCTGAGGTAAAAATTTGTAGACTTGTTTCCTCCAAAGACTTTTCCTTTCAGAACGCTGGCTTGTGCTTTCAATAAATACCAAAAGTAACACATTAGATAGGGTTCCTTCCGCAGAATTAAAATTTGCTCGAGGGATCCCTCTACTGGCAGTCTCATGTTTCAGATTCGGTGGGCTCATAATTTATAAGACGCACTGTAAAGTGTTAGGCGATAAAAGAAGGCCCAATTAAAAAAGGGAAAAAAAAGCAATAAAAAACCAGGGAACTTCCTACATGAACCCAACTGACCAAAATCTTTGAAAGGCCAGCTCCTTATGGACCAGAACTCACTCTGATTTCCAGCCAATCAAATCTTTAATCTTTCCCCTTTTGTTGATACCATGACAACATGGTGGCATCAGTAGTAGCTAGTTAAGGATAGCAGCGTACCATTTCCTATCGATAATAAAGACATTTCTCATACTGTTGTCACTCTCATCACCACCTCCCTGTTGGAATTTGTGCTATTTCGATGTTCATTAGGCCGCAGGTGGCTGAGGATGTGTAGAATTGTATAACCACAGTGATGGTTTAATATAGTCCTAACCCGCTGGCTCCGCCCAGGGCCTCTGTCATTGTGAGAGGAATGGTTCGTCCGTGAATTCCTTCCCCCAAGCTTTGTAGTTCCAGTTAAAGGTTCCCCAAGGTCCTTCGTTTTGTCATAGTTCAGAACTTTCCATTGCTGATTGACGGCTTGCCATCGCTTGAAGATTCGATATACAGATGAGCCTTCATGGATTATTAGACCTGTTACAAGAAAACAACAACATATTGAAGAATTAAAATATGAACCTTGGCACGTACAAGGTTATACAGTTATACCTTTATGTGCAAATGTGCACTTTTATGTGTGAGATTCTTACACCTATAGTTCTATTTTGTGTCAGTACTGCTCTGTGGAAAATCCTGTATCAGACAGCTACAAATGAAGGCCAAAGTCCATACCAAAGGCAGACCTTAGGTCTTCCTCAGATTTCTTGTGTACCTTGTAAAGTGTAGGGTCCTAAAGAACAAGAGAGGATTAAGTGGATAAATTGTACTGCAGAATAGCCTGGGATGAAGACTGGTAAGCCCAGGTTAGGTATCATTGGAAAGGGTGTAGAGGAGATTTTGTATAACTGGAAGATCCTATGAGGAATAGCGCAGGTAGGACCTATTAATGAATGGGTCCTAAGGACTGACAAGAGTGGGGTGTGCAGCCAGGGTAGTCTTTCATAAAGGGAGAGAGGTAAAGCCTTGTTCTAGTAGTATCTATTGTTCTAACTGTTTATACTTCTACTAAGAGTACTGCAACAGTATTTTTGCTATGAGGGCTCTTTCATAATATTCAGTTGGATCTGGGAAGCAAAAGCCACCTTTTGGTCTTTGGGAGATGGTAGCTCTTTTGTGTGTGTGCCCAGATGAAATATAAGAAGTGGAACATAATTCTGTAAGGAATTTGGCTGGTAAGGCAATAGGGAGTGTCTGAAGTAGGTATGTTTTAATGATGTTGTTCCGGCCCAACCAGATTAACGTACCCTTATGCCATCTCTAAAGATCATGTCCATTGACAAGGTTTAAAGTAGAGGTGCACCGTAATGGAAATTTTAAAACCGAAACGAAACCGAAATAAAAAAATTGTCAGGCCGAAACCGATACTGAAAATGTTTTTTTATTTTAATTTTTTTAAATCTTTTTAATATTTTATTAATCCTGCAGCGCTCGACCGGCTGTCACTTTCTTTTCTCCCTGCTGAAACACAGAGCAGCGCCCAGCGGGGAGAAAATAAACCAGCGATGCGCCGATGTATCGGCCGAAACATAGCCCTTTCTGCATTATGCCAAAAGTGCAATTTTCGGGCGATATGTTTCGGCGGCCGATATATCGGTGCATCCCTAGTTTAAAGCTAAGGTCAAATAGAAAGGTCTGCTAAGAGATATTTGTTGCTAATATCTAATATGAGAGGAAGGCCATTTAAAGGAGAAATTACCCCTAAATAATTGAATAGTAGTGGCTGGAAGCAAAACTCCCAAGGCCTCTGATTTATTATAGTTTATTTTGTAATTTACACAGTTTATTTAAAAATTACTTCATACATTTACTAATGTGCTCCTGTGACTAAAGTCTGCAGATAATGGATAAAGTTCACAGATAGTAGCTAATACCCACTATCGGCTTCCAGCTCACAGCTGCGGGGCAATTGGGAAAGATCAATGATGTTGTGATCTACCTTGGCTGCCTAATTGACAGCTGATTCTGCCTCTCAGCATGTGGCTGAGAGCCAGAACCAGTCATGCCCACCCACTTTCCTGTCTGTGGCTCCAGCCAGTGCTGGAGAAGAATAGGGACGGTAAAATCCCTGTGGGGGTAATGACTGACACTCACTGCACTCCACTGAAAGCTGACTGAGAGCTGACTGATCAGCAGTCATGTGATTAGGCAGCTCTCAGTCTTAGAGCTGGCATGTGACAGCTGCACTATACTACACTGGCTCTAAGTATTGGAGAGAGTATGTTTTATTCTCCCCATACTTCTCCTTTAAATTAAAAGCCTTGGAACAGTCTCTTTACGTTTGGTAATATTACCTATATCTGGCTGTGTAATTACCACTGCTTTTATGAGCTCTTTATGGATAGGCAGGCCCGAATTTCCCACAAGGCCACCGAGGCCCGGCCTCGGGGCGGCAGAGCACCGATGGGCGGCAGCGATTGGAGTACAGTACAGGCTCTTTAAGTTCTGGGTTCTGGGTCACCATCAGACCCAGAACCCTAATGTAGAAGCGAATGGAGGGGTGTCAGAACATGTAAGTGGAGAGACCTAAGCTTTTCTAGAGGAAGAAAGAGCCTGGATAGGTACGCCAACTGATGGGTCAGCTCCAGGGTGGATTTCTGAAATTTGATGATACAGCTGTACCTCTGCAGAGTATGCACGGTCCTCAGGTTATTGGCCGACAGGACCTGGGGTGACTGATCTTTGTTCAGAGGATTGTGCAAGTATCTCACAATATGCATTCCCTGGGTGCAAAACAAAGCCATGACTGGGGCAATCATCTTGGCAAAAACCCTAGGTCCTGTGGACAGGCCAAAGGGAAGGGCAACAAAATGAATGTGTTGCGAACCCATAGCAAAGCAAAGAAAGCTCTGATAGGGCAGGAAGACTGGAATGTGTAAATTAGTTTTCTTGATATCCAAAAGTTCTGCCTTTTGTAGTAACACTATCACTGACCTGATCGATTCCATACAAAGGAACTTGTTGAGGCAATTCAGGTTCAGGATGGAGTGAAGGATCTGCCATGTGCTACCTAAGTATGCCCCCCAAAAGGGCACTTATGAGTTATGCACTGATAGGTGCTGGGAATAAAGACTTGCACCAAATGTGCTGAGCACTGTGGGGGCAAGTATCCAGGGTCTGTAGTGGTATGTTGTGACAGAAGCAGGAGCTTCCATGTGCGTCCTGCAGGGTGACCCTCACTGAATGCCTTGGATGGTTGCAACAAGTCCAGTACATTTGAGGGGCCCTAGATCCTACAGGTGCTGAGGGCATCCCCAGGGCCCTGCTCCCAGGCTTAAATGGCACCAAGATGCAAATAAACCGGTGCTCCATGCTACTCCTAGTGGGGGATGGGGAGCAGAAGAATAGGGAGGGGCAATAGATCCCCCACTTACTGCAGCCGCACAGCTTGATTCAGGAGCAGGGCAGAAAGGCCAAGCTTTTACTCTGGCTTTACCCATCACAGCAGGCATACCCCTTTGCAGCAATGGTGGACCACAGTCCTTGACCTGTAAAGCACACTGCAGCCAACTTGACATGACTTAGGCACCCACGCAGGATCCAATGCCTAAAGTAACATTACAGGCTGCCCCATTATCGTCTTCCAGGCCAGAGGTAAGTCTCTCTGAGAGAGAGAGCACATTAATTGCCTAAAGACACTAGCAAAAAACTGAGGCTTGCTGGAATGGGGGAAAGGGGGTTATATGGGGGCTGTCACTGCAGCCTTTTATTTTTGCTAGTGTCCAATCACCTGAAGTTAGTATATAACTCAGGGAGCATGACTTATGTTAGGATGACAAAGCACAGGATAAAACACACATCTGCTATACTTTTCCTATTTTCCCTATGAACTGCAATGACAAGGCCACCTCCCAGCTACTCCTTGCAACATCTTCCACAAAGCAGAACAGAGTCTAAGCAAGACTGTCGAATCTCAGTGCTGGAAACTCGCATGATCATGTATGTTTGTCCTGATTTTGTGGATGTCTTCCTTATATTGTAAAGCGCTGTGCAAACTATTGGCGCTATATAAATCCTGTATAATATAATAATAATGTGCATTTGTAGGGGGTCATATTTCATGCAGTTACGTGGTTAAATAGCAAATGTCAGACTATAAATATCAGTCCTACTTTTAAAAGGCTGTATGTCCAATACAGTTTTACAAACCAATCTATTGATATTAGGTGTGTAATAAACCTAGTTTAAGACAAAAAGAGAAAAAAAAGCATTGCTTCTGGTTTTATGCTGGTCGCACATGCGAAGAGATCTCTGACTTCAGTATAAGGTCAGAGACTTTCCTGCACTCTGCAAGTCCCCCAAAGCCAGTAACTTTTCTTCTAGCTTGTTTCCAACTCATGTGCAAAGCAATTACTGGTAAGTTTTCCATTAAGTGGAACTCCTCTCAAAACTCTGACAGTGTGGAGCGCAATTGGAAGACATGGACAGTTTTATCACTAATAATAGGAAGTGTCTGAATAAGGACTGTTACGGCAGGATCACCAGATATTATTATAATGACAGCAGGATCAGGAGCAGGTTTAATAAACTGAAAATGTGCCATTTGAAATACCATGAACATGTTAAAGCTAATACGAGATGCTAGTGATTGGATCTACATATACTTTTAGGGTTGGAACCTCTGACAGATTTGCATTGTTGCCTGTGTCCTTGGTTGGCTCTCAGCTTCCTGGTGACTGGTGTCCTTGGGACTGGGGATTGCAATTCCTTGAACTTGGGGTTTCTTTGTTTACAGTTTATCTAATTCATAGCGCTTGTAAAAGCATTGGCTAAACAGACACTCAAACAGTGCTCTGCAATTAAGCTGTATTATTATATAATGTAGCTATGTCCTGTCCCAATATTTAAGTACATACACATATTCATCACACATACTTAAGGGTATGTCTTATGCAAGTAACCAAGTTGCTCAATAAAGTATATCAAGATAGAAGTTCCCTTCAGATTTAACAGTAGCGGTGCAACGTATTGGATATCAATAGGTTCTACACAGCCAACTGATAATCTTTTAAAGGGCATTTCCACCTGCACCTCTACATTACCACAAAAAAACACAAATCACTTACAAAGGGGGAAATGTCCTTTAAGCCACAAGGTATGATATACAGTAACTTGGTGGACCACATGGAAAAAGGAATGCATATGGAAACATTAGAAAGCATGAAAATGATCTTTTTCTTTAATATACGGTAGCATAAATAACTCTCAGAGATATACAGTATGTAAAAACTATCTGCATTAGTTCTTATCCAAAGTGGAACTTACATTTGAATCTTCTACACCAAACAGACAACTTCTCTCTAAGGGCTTGCATAGATAGGCAAATGCATTATACGTTCATGTGAATTCAGTTACATTGAGATGTTTATGTGTTCATTCTGAGCTGCCGCTGCTTTGCTTCTGAGTTGCTTTTGCATTCTCATTGAATTGTATGTGAAGAATAGCATTTCTGGTTTTAACTAATGCACATGTACTCAAGTCCTTACGTCAATTCAGACAGAAGTAAACCTACGAGTTGTAGGATGGTTAGAGGAACATGGAACAAAACACAAATTAGATACATGCATATAACTGGAAATTAAATCAGAGTTCCAGTTATTTTTATATACTATGAGGCGAATTCATCAAAACTGGAGCAGACAAAATATGGAGCAGCAGTGCATGGCAACCAATCATCTCATTCTTAGGGATACTGGTAATCAGCATCCACCTTTCATTTTCAAACCTTAACTGAACAAACTGAAGAGAGAAGCTGATTGGTTGACATAGACAACTGCTCCAGATTCTTCTGCTTTTGATAAATTTCCCCCTGTGTGTGTTAATAAAATAAAGAGCATTAGTGAACATTCAATGGAATACCCATGTTTCTCTCACCTATGCAGACAATGTCCATAAAGCCATACATGCCATAGCAGATCTGGAACAGCAGGTCTTGACGCTGCCATTTGGCAGAGGGGCTGAGAGAGGACCAGATTAACCAGGATATGCTGGCAATAAGGAAGAGGGAGCCCAGTATTATAGCTGCTATCTGCACCTTCTCAATCACAGTCAAGGAGATGGCCTGCCACTGTAACGTAAAGTAAAATGTGGTCAGATATACATGACATTGGCAATAAATGAATTATATACTGTACATTAAAAGTTTAATTTATTTTTGATAGCTCACATGAACCGTAATGAAACTAAAACTTACTAAAAGTAGCAGTCAAAACAGGCTGTAAGTTAAAACTGACACTCACTAACACCAAATCCTGACATTCATTTAACCCTTTTCCTGTCACTGACAAGATGTATGGTGGGACAGAACTACATCCAGCTGGCCAGGTCAGCATGCTTTACGCCAGCAGCATTCTCGTGGTCACTTCAGCGACCATAAAATTATAACAGAAGGGTCCCCTAGACCAGTGGTTCTCAACTTGTGTAACCTCAGGACCCACATTTGTCCTCGGTCATGAAGTCGTGACCCAAGTCGCACTGCAGTGGAACATATGGCAGTGTGGGCTGCTGTGCTGTGATGGAGCTCCATCCATATGTGCTTTGCTTGTGCCGCTCACATGTGCACCCTGTAGAGGTGCTGGGAGCCAGAATGTGATGTCACTCCAGTCCAGGAACCTCTACAGGACATGCGAGCGAGCTGTAAGTAATGAATGTATGGAGGGAGCTTCATCGCAGCCATACCCCCAGCCCACCCCACCTCAAGTCAACACTTGGCGCTGGGCAGCATATTTTGAATGGCTACTTGGTGTAAGAATGGACAGTGCTGCACTACAGGGGGGCTAGGGGGAGGCTGAGGAGCCTCCCACCTAGAAAAGTGGAAGGCATGCGGCGACCCACTTAACATGGGGTCGCGACCCACTTTTGGGTCACGACCCACCAGTTGAGAACCAAGGCCCTAGACCCTTCTGAATAAATTAATAGTTATCATCAGCCACTGATCACAATCATTCTTTCAAAAATGGGCAGTGGCAAACTGCGCCCCTCTGTGTTCTCTCTGTGCCTTTTCATTCCCCTTGCTCTCCCTCTGCCTGTATTGGCAGAAACAGCAGGTTATGGAGGGAACACAAAGTGCGCGTGCACGTTGGATTCAGGATGGTGAGTAAAGGAATGGTAAATATATATAATAATTACCAATCCTTCACTTTCCCAAATTTACACTGGAGTGATTCATGCTGATCACTCTATTGTTCACTTATAACTGAGGAGATGGTAAATGTTCATCTCCTTAGTTTGTGAATGAACAGGGAGAGCTCTATACAGAGTACTTCCTGTTCAGTGAGTGCTAGGGCTGCAGATGGGAAACAGACTGAGGACTCTGTGGCCTCAGTATTTTTCTCCTATTTAAAAGTGAAATACCAGGGTTCTGTTTGGACCTCTGATATTTCACTAAAACCCTCTACAGTACTGTTAAAAAAGAAGAAGAAATCACCTACACACATAGGGGTCTATTTACTAAGCTGCGGTAGGCAGCCGAGTGAATGACCGACCTGAAGCGAAGTGAGCCGAACGCCGTTCGGCTATTCACTTCAGGCTGGCATGGCTGATTTCAGCCGTAAATCGACTGAAATCAGTCGTACATTGGCTGGCTTCGTGTGGCTTCGGGTCGGCCGAACTTGCTCAGCATGTTCGGTCGACCCGAAGTGCAGAAGGAGTTTGACTCAGCCGATCCAACATCTGGATCGGCTAAGCCGAACCTCCGGCAGGCTACTCGCTATGGTGAACATTCTTTTTATTTTATTTTTATTCTGACGACAGCCAACGGCTCCATGTCAGAATAAAAAAAAAGAAAAAGCAGTGTTTCTCTCGTAGGCGGCCCGGAGCAGGAGACTCCCGTAGCGCCCGGGAGAGTTGAGCTGTCTAGAGAACAGTGTCCCTGGGGACACTGGGGCCGGAGCTAGCCGAAGGATCGGCCGAAGCTACGGCTAGATCCTTCGGCAGCTTTGTTAATAGACCCCATAGAGTCACATGAGTTGGTCTTTAACAATAAAAATTAGGTGAAATAAGACATTTATTGACATGAATTCTTTCACAAGCAACCCATCAAGATTATGAGCAATACATATGCATTATAGTGAAAATAATACCAATATTTTTTTGGCTGAAAATAAGTGCAAGATGTTAAGAATATTGACTTCAGACGTGTATTCATATAAAAACAGGACAACTGGTTATTTTCAAAAGATTTACCTTTAGTGAGCTAATAAAAAAGTCACTTGTATTTTCACTTTCCTGCTTCTATCTATAATGCAGTACAATATTTTGTATGTGCCATCTTCTGATGTTGTAAAAACTGAGACATTTATGAGATTATGAGGAAAAAGAACTGGTGTTGTCCATAGCAACCAATCATGTGGCAAATGGAATCTGTTTTGTACACTTTTCCTTGAAGTTTTATCCTTAAAGGGTTTCTAAACCCTCCGTTTTTCTTGCCTATATCTACTGCTAGCAAGCGGTTTAAACTTACCCTGTTTTCGTCGCACGCTCCCGCCCGAGAATCCGAAACTGCTCGGGCGGCCGCAAAGCATCTTGGGGCGGGCGCATGCGCAGTTCGGATTTTCAGCCGGGAGACAAGCAGAGACGCAAGGTAAGTCTATGGACGCGTGCACCCGCATGCAGACACCGCTGGATCGGAAGTGACTGCAAGCAGAGAGGAGTCAGCGCTGGATCGGAGAGCCGCCGCACCGCTGGAGGGACAGATGAAAACATCAGGAAAGAAGAGGAAGATCGGATTAAGAAACCTCATAAAGGGAAAAACATTTTGACTTTAATGTAACTTTAAGCTTTTTCTGTTTTAATGTACATCATTTCGAAAGGAAGAAGGGATTTTCAACATATCAGATGTCAAGCAAAAAAAATAAATGGCCATTTATTTTTTTAACTCAATTATGATAACAATTAAATGTCATAACTGAAATATGCTGCTATGGGAGTCCTGATTGGGCTGATTCTGATGCCATCTAGAATGAGCAATGTACAGTTACCATAAAAAAATGGTTAACACTGAAAAATGGATAACAATCTATTAAATTGTGATAACAGATAAGTGGTACCCTCAAAAAGCATATTTTGCCTGTACATTGCTGCTTACAAAAGCCCCAGAATTATCTCACTTTAGATGTTCCAGGATAGTGAGTCAGCTGACAAAAAGTGCAGCATTTCTGTGTGTACATTGTGCAGTCAGAGTGCTCACCATGTAATCAGTTGCTGACTCACCGTCCGTGAATGTCTATTCCATATAAAAGCTCAAGGCTCACAAGGGCCAATTTGAAAAACATAAAGCAAGTAAAACATAATTCCTAGTTACACCTGGCTAGCAATAAAGAGTGAATTTAGACAGATGGCAAGGTGTTACTCTTTATGTCATAGTTCCCGTGTATACAATTCTGACTGAGAACACATTGATAATTGCTCAACAAAGACCCTTTAGTTCTGAAACAAAGGTCCCCATAGATGACTGTTACCAAATCCTGCCCATATGAAAGGATATTTTTGGCCATATACGTTTGGCTTGGGGAGGGGAAGGGGGGAAATGTTGACAGGCCAAGGTTGATTATTACTTACATACATGCACATCTGTATGAAATAAGAGTGCAGATGTATGTGCATACCTTTAAGAAAAACTTTGATCAGGTGACATCTATAAACATATACTAGATCAGACATTTGTGCTAGTTTCACTGCTTAGACCTCCCTCCTTCAAGTTGCCAGTGGGTTAAGCTGAGCTGAACATGCTATACAGAATGCTTAGAGCAGGAATAAAAGGCAGGATATTATTATGTATGACACTTGCTTTGAGCACCAGAAGGGTTACTTAGTGGCAAGAACTCTAGAGATATTGCAAGTATTCTGCAGTAGTGTAAGAATTGTTCCCAGTAAAACTAACTCTGCAAGTTCTCGCCAGATCTATCTTTTAGGGTTGAGGTGAGTTTCTCCATATCTCTGATCTCATTCACTTTGGCAAACCACTGACCCACCATTGAGAGTCTTGTTTGTTTCCAGGCACTCAGGATGCATGTTTGGGCAGCATTTAACAAATGAATCAATAATGATTTCCTGTATCTCTTCCTGGACAATGATGTGAGGTTCAGCAGGAGCAAGATGCTGGGTCGACTGAAAGGGTAGGTAATACCTGTCAATTATGTAAAAAGTTTCGAAACCCGTTGCCAAAAAGGCCTGATTTGTGGACAGTCCCAGAAAATATATATTAAGGTACGTCTATCTGCAGAGCAACATCAGCAGTTGTCATTTTTTTGTGGGAACATTTGGCTAAATGGAGGGGGTTCTATACCACTTTCTCATGATGATGTATGTGATCTCCTGATATTTATTATAAATAGAAGATTTGTGAGCAAAGAACACAATCCTGACTTTTTGTTTGTCCATGAAGGTGGCCTGTAGGTCTTTCCCCTACTTACGAAGGAAGGCCAGGTCAGTCTGTGAGGATGCATAGAGCCAAAGCTGCTAAGAGGTAGAAAGAGTCTTATGAACCATGCGCCTCCCCCAACCCGATTCTTCAAAGGGTGACAATGATCTGGAGGACAGCTTTGAGTTGGGTAGGGAGTGCAAAATGTAGGAAAGCTAGGGATATGTGGATATTTGTGAAGGTTGCATAGCATTTTCCAGCGATCTGTATGCAAAAATGTATGGGTGCAGTGAAATCAGACCAAAAAAAAAAAAATTGTACAGCATAGGAGCATGTTTTACTGTCTAAAACTGAAGCTGGAGTTTGGCTTTAAGAATTAGCAGTCTTTGATGAATAAGGTCCATGTAATGAATAAGGTAAGTAATGTAATGTCTGTAATTAATTCATCACAGCAGGAGGTATCAGATACAGATAGAAGACAGTCTTACATCGTATTACCCTCTGTTACCTCATATAACCTATTGTTCCATATAGTGTGTTTGACCTTCTCAGCTTGACATGGCTATTGTGAAAATCTCTAGCAAATACATTTCTGATGTCAGACTTTCTTAACAGAATTATTTACTGAAAACTGAATACAATTTAGATGAAAAAGAACCAAGTGAGCTACTAAATGTACAGTGCATTCAGGTTTACACACACTGGCT